AAAGATTACTATTATTATAATAATAAGTTTTTAAATTATATTTTCCAAATAATTCAATCCAAAACTGTTTATTTCAAGCTTAGATAACAAATTCTTTTATACATTTTTTAGATACATAAATTATTATAGTATTACTAGTTAATACTATCTAATATATAAAATATAATTAAAGTATTATAGTATAAATAATTATGAATAGGCTATATTAAAGTATATCAAAGAATGTTAAAGTATATAAAAGGATGTTAAAAGATGTTGAAAGATATGAGAAGATGTGAAAAGACATGGAAAGATATGAAAGGATATGAGAAAATATCAAAAGATATTAAAGAATAAGAAAAGATGTTTGAAATCATCATCCAAGTATAATTATTTCATCAAAATTAAAAATAATCTTCCACTATATTATTCTACTATGTATATAAATATCATATTACAAGATAATAAAAATATAGATCCTGAATATTAAATAAAATATAATGTTTTAAAAATAAAAATGTGATAATAAATATAATAATATATAGTATAAAAATAAGAATATTTATAAAATAAATGAAAAATATATGTGATTTTGTATAATTAGAAAAAGATTAAGGAATTAAGGAATTAAGGAATTTTATGTTATTACAGTAATAGTACTATTTATTATTTCAAATTTATAAATAAATTGCTGATTAAAGCATTTTTTAAAGCTTAATTTATGTTATAAATATTATTAAATATATTAAAGAAGAAGATATTTATAAAATTGCCTTTAGAACTTGTTATAATTATTATAATTCTTAGTTTTATCTTTTTGCTTATTAATATATCAGTTACTTTTATAAGTTTAATAAATAATATATTTTATAATTAACTAGATAAATTTATAATTATATATATAAATAATATCTTAATATCAAAATTAATATTTAAAATTAATTCAAAAATATTATTTAAATATTTACATTCAAAGTTAGTCTTTCAAAAGGAATCCATTCGATTAATTCATCTCAATTACGTTACATTCTTTTATATCTATAAAAATTCGGTTTCGATAATATAAAATCTAGCGCATTACTTCTTTCTTGACTTTTAGCACATTTATTACAATCGTCTGCATTTGGATTCCATCTTTGACTTTTAAAATGCGTTTATATGAACATAGATGTTTGAAATGATAGCTCGAGATTGTTATTGTACATTAAATGTGAAGGTCCTTTAAAACCAGATACATTTAAGCTTCCATAAGTGCACCCCTTGGGAAGTAAGCTAAAACGTGCATTTATGGAAGTGCGCAAAAATTTTGTTGGTGTCACGTGATTTTATTTAATTAACCATTTAGATTATTTAATTAAAAAATTTATCAGAACGAATGAACAGCACCCCGAATGAACAGTATCCGAATGGTCAATTACACGATTTCGTGATTTCATCGGGATTTGAATGTCATCGATAATATTTACTGCCGTAAACTTTGTACTATGGTGAACAGTAAAGAAAAAAATCATTTTGATAAAGTAGTTAAATTCTTAGAAATCGTTACTGATTTCACTAATGAGCTTACTGTGAAAGACTCTTACATAATTTAGAATTTTACTTAAGACAAAATCTACGAATTCGAAGAATATTTGAACATCAATCCACTAAATTTTTAGTTGATCAGATTGAATCATGAACATTTCTTGTTTTAATTTAGCATTGTTTTAATATTCTAAAACAGTATATTAATTAATATATTACACACAAAACTGTATTTGTTTTTCAATTTTATAATACAAAAATACTTGGAAAAGATTTGAAGTGATTATTCTGCAGTTGTTATTACCTACTGCAATTTGAGAATTTTATAATATGCACACATCTTTACATTACTTTTAATAAAAGAAAGAAAACCTTGAACAGTCAAAGTTAATTATTTCACGCTTGTGCAGATGTATGCACAATATCACCCTTTAATTTTGAATGAAAGAGGTCACTGTATACATGTAATAAATTCAATCATTGACTATTAACTTCATTTAATATAAAAATAGTCATATAAGTTATGAAATTTTACAGAGCAAAATGGAAATTCAAACATGTTGACAATCGGGGTGATCGACATAAATAAAGGGAGTGAGTTGCATTATTTGTGCAACACACAGACGTCCGTTCAATTAGCTCTTTAGAAAGCTAAAATCTTAAGCTTTAAAACGATATAAAAAAATATGTCAAACTCATTATACTCGCAGAAATTGCCAACTTACGGATTTTGAGCGCGGCGAGAAAGTCGGCGCTTGGAAGTGTGGTTTTTCCGAACAAAAAATAGGAGAAACTCTAGGACGACCCAAATCTACAGTTCATAACGTCATACAAGAGTTTGGCCAAACCACAGTTGCTGCCCGAAGCGGTAGACCACCAATATTAAATGATAGAGATACCCGAAGAATAATCAACATTGTAAAAGATAACCGGCAACAATCATTTAATGAAATTACTGAAAAATTCAATACTGGTTTAGAAATTTTGGTTAGTTCTAAAACCATACGTCGTAATCTTTACGAAAGTAGGTTTTTGGTCGGGCTGGTCTAAGAAAACCTTTCATATCTGAGAAAAATCGTCGTGAACGATTAAAATGTGTCTAGAATGAAAAGATTGGGTTCTTGGATGGGAATTAGTAATTTGGAGTGATGAATCAAAATATTTAATATTCAGAATGATTCATGGCAATGGGTTTGGCGTCAACCCCATGAAAAATATGACGTCAATTGTCTTCTTACTAGTATGAAATCGGGTAATCGAGGAGTAATGGTATGGGGATGTTTTACCCAAAATGCACTCGGACCGTTAATCGAAGTAGACAGTGTAATAACTGGCCAAAAATATGTAGAATTGCTTGAACAGTATCTTCGACCATTTTTAAATGAACTACCAGCTAGTTCTGTTCATCTTTTTCATGATGATAATGCGCCGATTCACAGAAATTATCATGTTGATGAATGGCGAGAGAGAAAGCTAATAGCTTCACTTCCATGGCCTGCCCAGAGTCCTGATTTAAATCCAATTGAGCATTATATGATGTTTTGGAAAGATGAATTCGTGCACGACCAACACATCCCGGAAGAATTGATGGATGCACTCGTGGAGGAATGGAATGAAATCGGACCGGAAATTTTAAAAAATTTGGTTGAAAGTATGCCGAGGAGAGTGCAAGCTGTAATTGATGCAAATGGGTATCCACCGATATTAAATATATGTATGAATAGTCCTACTTTTGCTGAATAAAATGATATATTTTTTATCGTAATTATTTAGAGAAGTTGACTTTTCTCACATCAAAATTCGTGACCTACATTGCTGATCATTTCCCGATTCCAAACTTTTGTTAATCGGAACAAGATACATGTATCTTGTTATCGTTACGATCATAAGAAACTTTATTTAGAAAGAGTTAGATGATCGAAAGATACACATTCTGGTTTGATCTTGTTAAATCTTTTTTTTAAACGTAATACATGTACATGTAAGGTTAGAAAATTTTTTCAGCCTTGACCTCATGAAAATTTCACCACTGAAAACTTGTCATACAGAATGTGAGAAAATAAATATTTTTTTTATGCATAGAGATATAACAATAACAATTCAAATAATAAAAAGTCAATTTTCATAGTGGGTATGAAGTGAGATGGTTAAACATGAATTGTATATGTATTGCGTACTATCTATGAGAGAAACAAAGAATCAATTAATCATTCTTTATTTAAGGCACATGAATTAAAAGACATTATCTCAAAACTTATTTTAAAAATGGTCTCCAAAAACTTCGCTTTTTTCATCTTAACAATATTAATATGTAATAATTTTGTTGCCACTTCATTGCCAATTAAAAGAAGGTAAAAATATGAGATGAAATTCAATTGTGAGGTTTATTCAAGATTAGTTTAAATCATAAACTCTTTATTTTACAAATTCACCATTTTTATAGTCCCATGTATGATCCTATCGATTGCATCACGAATTATTGTGATGGCGGAAGCGATACAGGAGGTAATGGAGGTAATGGAGGAACTGAAGTTCATGTTGACGGAAATAGTAACGGAGGTTTAAACGGAAATAGTAGCGGAGGTTTTTACAGAAATAGTAGCGGAGGTTTTTACGGAAATAGTAACGGAGGAGGTTAATACGCAACAAATCGTTCCATATTGATACTATTTTACTCATAATAACAGATAATTTAGCTGAATATCACATCGTTCAAAAAAAACAACTTGAGAAAAATTTTCAATTTTCAATTTATTTTGAAATAAATAAATGTATAACTATTAAGAATTTTAAAAAGGTGTAATATAAAATATAAGTATGAGTGCCAGTTTGTTGAAGAAAGTGAAACCTCACCAGTAGATAATTTCCAAAATCTATCAATAAATAAACTCATTCCTTTGATTTTTTTTGCCGTTAAATGTCTAATGACAAGGCGGCCAAAAGATTGGCAATAATTCAAACCACAATTTTATCAATTGGAACGACAATAATTTTGGATGACGATTTGTATTTTGTTACTATATTATAGTACAAGTATCCCCATTCTATAGTACGAGATATTATTCAACCCCAATTGGAAATATTTTCCTGGTATTTAATCACCCCAACCAATCAGATGAACAAGGCTATTATCTTACACAATTCAGGAGACTTTTATTAATTACCGTTGCTATATAAATAATCATTAATATTCTATAATAATTATTTTTTAAGAACATAAATACGATCCTGAGCGACAATAATGGTATCCCGAATAGTCGAAATCTCGAACGTATCATCGCCATTCTGAAAGAACAGCATCCGAACGTATAGCATTCCAAGTAACGTGTATTTCATTTTGAGATTTAGCAATTCGAGATGTCGTTCATTTGGGGTTTCGTGTGTTAAGCATATGGTTGTCAGGATTATGTTAGATGGGATATTGAATTTATAATTAATTGGTCAATCTAACATTTGTCACCGCTGGGCTCTTCCTTAGTATTTTACTTATCTCCCATATAGTACCCCCCGGGACACTGTAGTAAGCGCTATACAGTAATTTCTTTTAGCAATTAAAGATTTGACTTTTTCATGACGAGAGATGCTTCTTCCTAGCATGATAAGCTAGTTTCGTTTCATCGACATTTATGATATTAACTTCTTCGAAAATATAAATTTTTCGTGCTAAGCTGCAAAGTTGGCATGATTTTAATAGAGTTCGTTGCTTTTTCAAAAGTGAGGCGTCTAGTGTTTTGATAAGAGATGTGTTTTGTCGTGCACTGATAACGAAAAATTTTACATCACTTCGATCGTTATGACTTTATGTGTACCATTTTTTAGTACCTTGAGTTGATTATGTAAAGCATCTCGAAATTTCTTTGGGGGATTTGGAACGAAGAAGAATTTCTCTCGAATATACCAATTTGATTACTTTTCTTTGTATATATAGCAAGTTATAAAATTTGAAAACATATGATTATTCTACAGAAAACTAATTTCTAAATATATTCTCACCAATAACAACTATAGCACCGCCAATATTTAAAATTTTGCTGGAATTTCACGTCTTTTTCTAATCTCCGGAACAAAAATATTTTCCCAAAATTTTTTTCGACTATGAACCAACCGCACGATAAAAATGCGTCTTTCTTTTTCAATGATAATTATTTTTAGAGAGATTTGATGAGACCTTAGGCTATTTGTATGCCTGCATCCACTTCCAATTATTACATTGCTAGGTTTTGTTGAAGATGACATTTCATGAATTCTTCAAAATGATAATTAGATTGTGGTGCCAAGACTCTTTTCGATTAGAGGGTTACGAAATAAAAGAGAATTATTGTTGATACTACAAAGTAAAATTTTAATATGAATTTGTCTCGCGAGTACAAGGTAAGAATTTCGTGAAAATCTTTTTCAAGTGTTACAGAACCCTACTAATAATTCTTCGTTAATAATAATGTTAGGAAATACATATACAAAAAAATAGCGATTTTCACATTCCTCTAGAAATTTCCGTAATCACGAAATCTTTAGTTACGACGGTAACAGCTCTTTATCTAATATTGATACAAATCAAATAAATTATATCGCCGTAATGAAAATTAAACATGCATGTAATTATTAATAACCACAAAGAATATAGTTATTATCGCTATTAACGTTAAAAATCTCTTTTATTTCAACAATAATAGGATGGATTCGTATTTATATGATTTTTAAAACTCTGCACCACTTTTTAATTACAGTTTACTTGGATAATAAAAATTATCTTTGCATAATAATAACTATTTTCATTATTTCGACTTTTCAGAAAGATTCATATGTCAGTGATAGAGTAATGTGACTTTTAGCTGGTAATAACTTGATTTTAAGTGTGTTAAATATATACCAAAAGATTAGATACTGTAACAAACTCTGCAAATTTTAAAAACTTTAACGTTATTTGTTTATTAATTAACACAAATAATATTAGATATGTATTCAGCAGATGAAACTTTCCTTCAATATTTCATAGCGCATTGCACATCTATTGTTATTATTGAATCTATACTTACATCTTATTTTTATTTTATTATTGTTTGTACCTATAGGCATTCTTGAAATGACGGAACCTCCGTGGGCATAAAATATTCTGAAATGCACACTATACGTACATGTATTACTATCTGTATTCATACTACTTTATTATCTGTTTGTGCTCTTCATTCGTTAAAAAAACTTTATTATATGCTGCATGCATAACGATATGATAATAACATGTATTTACAAGAAATTAGAGTATACATGTTTATACCAAACTTATATATTGTTCTTTGATTAATACGTGATATCGAATTACTGTAATTTGGCACCAGATACTTATTTGAAGACATGTTAAACTCAGAATTCTGATGTTCAGCAATTTAAATTGTATTTTATTTTCATTATAATAATTAAATGTATAAATGCTACAAAATTAATGCCTTTATAGAAAGATCAAGCTTTACTCTTTGTTATGCCATAAGTGTCATAGTCACCTTCATTTTAAGGGTGCATATACGGATAGACCAGATTTAGACTTTGATTGACAAGGTAACATGTGCCGGTATGCAATGTAATCAAAAAAGGAAAACTCCACATCATTGAATTTCTCATAGACTTGGTGTACACTCGCCATTTGAAACCTCTTATAGATTATCATTTCTTCTAAAAATAATTTAATGTTTGATTTAGATTCAACACTCAATCACAGCCACTCATGTGCACAACATTTTTTCAATGGTATTGTTTCCTTCATAAAGTTTTTGTGAAATATATTTTCCAGTTCTTCCAAATGTATTTATTCGAGAAATATGTGCAAGCCTGTATTTTTTATTTATTTAGAGCATACGTAATTGGTTTTTTACGCCATTGATTATAGTTTAGTTGTTTCATCTGTCGAAGATTTATTTAGAATTCTCACTTAGTAATGCTACTATGCAACCTTTTTTTTTGTTTAGTATTTTTCAATCTCTTTATCAAGCTTCAAGATATTCACAGATTTCTCAGCCTCAAGACATTGCAGTTAAATTACTAAAAATTAAAATCTTTTCAAGCTGCGACTTTTTAATATTATTTCAGTATTGAAGCACAATATCTTTTTATTCTATGAAATCGCTTGAACGATTGATATGTCAAGGTAATAAATAGAAAAGCATTTTAAAGAACACCAACTAATTTTTAAAGGTTAACACAGAATTTTGGATGGCAACTTCGTGCTAATTCTGAATACAATCCCACCTCTTTATACGAATACTCTATATAATAACTGGATTTGATAACCAATAAATTAGTATTTATGTTAAAAAGTAATCTCTTTATAAGAACTGATTTTCTGGCCCAACTATGTTCTTATAGAGAGGCGAGACTGTATTTGCCTTCGTATTAGAACCTTTGCAGATAAGAAGTACCAAATAATAAAGTTAAAAGAAGTCTAGAAAAAGGAATAGAGAGTAAATCATGATGAAACATGTTGCAGAAACACCAGTTACAACAAACCATTAACTCTTAATAGAAATATTATTTTAATATTATCTCTTTAAGCTTTTAAATACTCTCCATTTTCTCGACGTTACTTTTGAATGTTTGCTGCTGAAACCCGGTGCATGTCAAGATTTCTTTCGCGATAAAATGCAGCAGTCGTCAACTGAGTCAGCATGAGGATCCTTGTATGCAGTAATGAATTTCTTATATGTTTGATTTTCATTTAAGATGCTCAACTTTCGATTTAAAATTTCCAGATGCTATAAAATCCAGTTAAATCGGAGCCAGCAGATTCATTATAAATCCGGTTTATAAAAAAATTAGTTTTTAACAGGACTTTTTAATAACGGAATAAACTCGTATAGCTAAGTCTTCCAAAGATTATTATTTTTATACCAATTTTGCTGAACATGCTCATTAGTAGTTCTATTAGCAAATTGTGAAATAATTGCAAGACCATAATCTTACTTACTGGGTTCACTCAAGCTTGTCTCTAAGCTCATCTTTTTTCTTTTTGAAAAGTTATTCATCTCCTTAGACAGATAGCTTAATTGAGAAAGAAATCATAAGCAGGCCACTGGCCAATGTTATGAGAAATATTTGTACAGAGATGTCTTTATAATTGAAGATCTAGGTGGCTGCCGGATGTTGATATCCAAAACGAAATAATTGAATATCATCGTTAATAATCAAATCTATGTCTATCAAAGAACCTGAAGATGGTTTGTTTCACTAACTTGAAGTAGGACATATATGTCTTCTAGAAAACATGGCACTGATGTAGTGATACTAGCCCATCAGCTGGACTGATAGGTAGATTGAGTATTGATCCATGTCGCTGCAGGTAGAGATGGTCGATATAAAATAAAATAAACTTTAGGTATTTATTTTTTAGCAATATTAATAAATATGATTACAGCAGTGCTCAAAAGTATTATATCGCCCGAATGATAAATTTCATGAGATAATAATGTTTTATATACAACGTTAATCAATATATAAATAGGCTCATTTATTTTTATATTGTAAATTAAAATAAATTAAACATATTTTATATCAAATCAAATGATTTATTTCTTAAATTATTTTGATAAATAAAAATAAAATTGAAATTACATAATAACCTAAATTTATGAAATTAATAGAAATATTAATTATCACCCAGTATATTCACATTTTGTATTAATTATATCTTAAATGTATTCTTTCATACTTTCAATTAACTTACATTAAAAATGCATTATCAATTTCCATTCAAATTTTTTGTATCATATTCAGAAAAGATTTTGAATAGGGATATCAATTGATATTCTTCTCAAATAATAATCTATTTCATTCTAGAGATGCTCAATTAGATTAAGATCAAGACCAATTGAGTAAACAGATATTATTATTAAATTAATTATATATAGATTTTGCTATATATTCTGATTATTATCTTGTTGAAAGATAATATTATTTTTATTAATATCACATTACTGAACTATTTCTAAAGGATTAATATTTAAGATTTTATAATATAAATTCTTATCTATATGAACATAAGATATATATAATATTATTAACATCAAAAAATCTGAAGCAATTTCAAATCATTATATTTTCACCTTCAAATTTTACTATAGATACTCTTTTAGAGATTTGTTATCATATTTCCAGTAGTATTTATATTTATTGAATAAAAAATCATAAATTTTGATTTATCAAATCAGATAAAATAGCTCTAATTATTAATAGTCTAATAATCATATTTTTTGCAAAATTTAAATATTGAATTTAATATATTTTTTAAGATATAATTTCTTTTGCTTAATTCATAAAGAAAGATCATTATAATATAAAGTTTGCTTTATTATGCTTGTACTAATATCAATTTATCTTCAGATTTTAATTTTTTTTGAATAGATATTACAGAGAGAAAATTATCACTCAAAATTAAATATATAATATTTTGTTTAACATAACCAGTAAAAATTTTAGAATTCTCTGATTTTGATAAATCTTTAAAGATATCATGAGTATCTTTTTTTCTTTATAATAAATAATTGAGAAATATTTTCCTGATTTGTAATATAACAGAAAGAATATCCTGCTTTAAGCAGAATATAAATTTTGGATCTTTTTTTGACAGGAATATGTGTCATAATAATTTTAAGTAAATGAGATAAAAGAGTGAATTCATGAGTATATTTTATTTATAGAAGATGTATTTTATTTTGTTATGTGTTTTTATCTATTTATCTATTTATATATTTATTTTGAGAAGGGAATGATTAAAAAAATGCATCATCAGATTGGCATAATAAAGTCCAAGTTAAGCAAAGTGATATTATATTTATTCTTTAAATAACATATGCTATTTATTTATGCTTTTAACTATATATGGGCTAAATTTCATTTATCTGTGACATCTATATTACTAAAAATTCTCCGATTCATTTTTTCATCCTAGTGATGCATTGCTTTGAGCATACTGTATATTACATAATAAGTTATACATTTATTAGAAAAAAACATATCGTGATGAGCAACATATTAAACATATTTTGTTCTATTACATGATTAAGAACATTATATATATATATATATATATATATGTTCACATGCTCTTATAATAGCATTCAATATTATTCCCAAACTTCTCTCTAATCAACTCTTCTTGGTTATGAACGAAGTATAATGAAGAAACTGACTAATATAAAATATGTGTTTTGAAAACAGTCCAATCTATTCGCCAAAATTTGAACCTAGCCTGAATTGTGATAAAAACTATGTTTTGAATAGAGATGTTATGACCAAGCTGCCAAAGATATGAAACTATTATGATCTGATTGAAGTTAAATATTATAGAAAGGTCGGTCCGATTGATCCCGCCCAAGTCATTTTGTCATCAGCCCCGGCCCATAGGTTTCCATCAGCCTGTATCACTGTATTAATGCTGTGCCGTAAATAAGCTATCAAGTAATATTTATAGGAAAGATTGGTCGAGAAAGTTAAAAATCTCGAAATTTTTGAAAGCTGACTTTCTGGGGTCATAGATTTTGTTAAGGTTGATGGAACAAAATAACTGAAAAGATAATAAGGAAAAGACAAATATGTTCTTTATTAGTTAGGATCCAGGTTCATTTTTAATACTTATTAGTAACTATGTTTAACAATTCAGTTGATATAATTTATTTGGTTTAGATGAATATTAAAAAAAGTATTCTTTTTTAAAATGAGATTGCCAAAGTTAATATGCAATCTATGTAACGGTAGGGAATTTAAAAAGTTCAACTGGATCGATCTTGAGCCTGGACCGAGTTGAGTCTGGTTTCTGACACAATTAGAGATGGGCATATAGTGTATGTACTACTATATATGGATATATATGTATATGTATATGTATTATTATGCGTATAATACACATAGTACGCTTAATGACTATGCGTGTATTTACTCATCCTAACGGTTCATAAGCCCGCCCGATAAACGAGATCCGATATCAATATCTAAGATGAATGACATCCCAAATGCTCAAAATTCGAAAATGTGACAATTTTAGTATTCATGTATTCAGGATACTATAATTTAGTAAAGTCATCGGGTCGTGACCTTTTCTTTATTAATTACTAAAGTTCATAATCTTTTCAGTAAATTCTTTATAATTAAAACTTAGTCGCGAATATCATCATTGTTGTCGTTACCTCTTATTATCAAGTATTCATTTGTAGTAGTTTCAGTTGTTCCATATTAACTTATCCTAAAGTAATCATTATTACACTTTAGAACAGTCTGAATCCAATCTAAAAACATTGTTCTACTAGGAACAAAAAACAGTCTTACATATTAAAATTATTTCAATCTATCTTCCTCTTTTATAATCATGTAATTTCAATACAACTAGGGTTGTTAATGGGTTGAGCCAGTCATAACGCCAGTCATTACTCCAGAATAATTCTCTAGGCTTTGTTCAATAATTAATTTGAACTAAAAAATAATTTTATAATCTATTGTTATCATATTAACATAAATTTCGTAATTCTGTAATTTCCCTTTAATTTCTACAACCTGGGAATCAATGCCAAACTCGGAACAATTATGGACATTATGCAATTCCCTTAACTCTTTTTCTTCGACCTCTTTAACATGCAATATTCGGGGAATAATTAATTTTGACACCGCATAATCATAATAACGATTGACGCCACTTCGTAACAATTAACGTTTAACACTACTTCGTCATTATACTCATAGATAATTAATGTGTAATAATCTGTTATTGTTTTAATCATTAGTTAAAAATAACTTACGATCATTACGTTCGCAACAATTTACTGTGTGATTGCCGTTATCATTACTATAATAATTAATTTTTCCAAGACCACTTCAATCATTAACTAACACCCACAATAATCTTTCAAAAGCCGTTTTTCTTCAATTCTGTTAGGATTTCTTCTAGTGTTTATTGACACTTTCAATTATAGTAGAAAGGCGCTAAACAATAGGCTGTCGTGTAATTTTGAAACACTTTTAGGGAAAGAATTCTTATTTTAGGACAATACGACACAATAGCAATTTAACATAGCTTGATACTGAAAAATCTTGAAATCACGATAAAAAGATTGAGAAATCATTAAACAAAAAATGAAGATTGCATAGTAACACTACAAAATGAGAATGTAAAATAGAGCTTCGACAATGATGAATAACTAAAAGGTTATATTATGACCAATCACATATACACTGACAAAAAAATATTTTGTTCATGCAGGCTTGCCGGAATGATACATTGTTATCATTTAGCATATTGGGGAGAACCGGGAAGAAAGTTGTGCACAGGACCGTGTCGAATGTAATGATGCTTTGAATCTTTTTAGAAATAACTGATAGTCTATAAAAAATTTCAATGGCGAGTGTTCGCCAAGACAAAGAATCTACATGTACATGTATATGAATTCAATGATGTGGGTTCTCCTTTCTTGATTATTACAATAAGCATTATGTGTATCAGACCGGTATAAGTAAGTCGTCAATCAAGTCTAATTTGGTATCAGGAATAGAAAATCTAATTGGTGATGATAGCACTTATTACATGTACATGTATGAATTTGGCAGTAAAGCTTGATTTGGCTATGTTGGCGTTGCTTTTTACATGTATTTGTACATACACATCCAATAATTATATAGAAAATAATTGCATGTATCAATTTTAATTTTGCTCAACATCAGAATGCTGAGATTTTTACGGGCTCAAATAGAAAGTAGATACATGTAACCGGTACAGAAAAAGTTATAGACTCATCTTATAAATCTTTTAGCGAATTAGTTCAAACAATCTCACGTATTAATCAAAGAAAAATACATGTATATTAGACATGTGATCCTAGTTCTTGTAAATACATGTACATGTATCGTTATGCATGAAGTAAGGGCATACATATAAAGGTAGTAATGATTAAGATGTACAAAATTAACTCTAAAAGCAAAAATTTCGAAATATACATGTACAAAAAGACAGCAAAGTACATGTAATGTGAATACAGTATCAATCATTGAATTTATAGTTTGAACAACATAACAAGCTCGTAGCATCTAATTTTAAGCATCGAGTATGGTTTATCTGCTTCGGACATACATATTTTTACATATATTCAATGACACAATACATGTACAATAGGTCTATGAAAAATTAAAGAGAAATTGCACTACATACTATTTTGTTACATAACTGCATTCTTATCGTTAAATTAACATTAAAGATACAGGGTGTTTGTGCGACAAATCTTAGTTACATGAATACTAACAAAAATACTCATTAAATCAAGTTATTACCAGTTAGAGTCATTATCTTTACGGTGTCATAATACTGTATAATTAGAAAACGCGCTCTATTATTCAAACTTATTAGCAAAAGTAGCAACAGATATTTAAAATTCATATAAATATGAATGCATCTTCCCGTTAAAACAAAAGAAAATTTTAAAGTTAATAGCATTTACGTGATAAAAATTCCCACTTAATTTCACCTTCTCAACCAGAACTATCCAACAATGTGCTGCTGTAAATGTTTTTGTTTTAGATTCTTAAGGGACTCTATTCATAAACAAACTTCATGGCGCGAGACAGAACCAACCGTAATGAAAGCTACCAAAAAAACGGTTTTATGGTTAATTTATATAGCATTGGCTCTCTATTTTTTGGATTTGCTATATAAATTAGTATTGGATAATCCTCCAATACAAACAATTTCTATTACTGACGCAACATTCCCCCTTAAGGCTCCATGTAAGAAAAATAATTTTATTTTTCTCTTAATACACATTTGTATCTGCATGTTTTGAACATCGATAACAATTTAGAATTACGGTAACTTTTTGTCTCATGTACATGTATATAGATGTTGTATTTTACGCCCCTTTTGAATTCAATGTAACTTGTGAATTTAGTAAGTAATCTATATGTCTATGCGTTTTAAAATTTTATATACACCTGAAATTTATTGTTATACTTTTAACAGATAATATTAATAAAACTCTCAAGAGCAGCTGCAACGATTACCTAAATCAGACAAACGATCAAGAATTACTTTACACCCCATTTTACACCACATTTCACACAGCAAATAAACTACTTAACTTCTCTGATTTCCTCTCTGAGCCTATTTTTGACAATGAATATATTGAATTTAAATTTTTTCTAACTAATTCTTCGAAAAATTCTCTTGGACTGTTTTCGGATCTGAAAGTTCGCGTGTTTGACCATGGTAAGTTTGGATGCTTGAATACAAATTTGAATACTCCGTATTGATATATCAACTATCTATAACACATGTATTAGATACGCCTGAATTCCTATCTCGGTATGATAAAAAATTTTCTCTGTTACCTCTGCTTGAGCAAATAACAGATAATTATTACACTCTTTCTCCATATCAGGTACGGTTATGAATGAAAGAATTCGTATTTTTAATGTTAATAATATTTTAGTTTACTTAACATTTATAGAGAAATACAATACGTTTCAGAACAATCGAAGCTAAGAATCTTAAGTATACTGTAAAGAATTTCTTTAGTATTCCTAAACCTAATATGCAGGATCTTAACAGCATCGAAACAACATTTCGTAAGTTCATTATTAATATATCACATTATATTTAATTTGATTCATGCTATGAATACATTCATATTATTTTAGAAACATCAAATTTTCCATCTACGGATTTCTCGAATATAACGAAATCATTAAGTCCAGATTTATCATTTTATACATATATGAGTTTATCATTGTGGACTAATTTGAAAGAAATTAAAGGAGAAAAAAAGTAAGCTTTATGATTTATTAATATATTATCAAAATGCATCGCATTGTTTTATTCTAAAATATAATGTTATTTATTCTATTTCTATTCTGGTTGCATTAAAGGAATCTAGGGGTAAACTTTCAATTTTTGTAAATTGTTTCGTTGTAATAAAAAACGATTAAACTTTTTTAATAAATTTAGTTGCTAGGCGTTTTCAGTGCTTTTGGCGGTGTTCTTGGCCTTCTTTTTTCTGTTTATCATTGTATTTTTGGTATGTTGCTTTTCAAATTTTTTTCAAATAAGTCATAACCACGTTTCCTAAAATATTGAAATAAATAGGGAGCGATCGAGTAAAACCATGGGGATATTTCCAAAAGATCTACAAAATCAGAGACCCGATTCAAAAAAAACTACTTAAAAAATTTGACCGAAAATTACCGCTTGTCAGTTTCAATGACAATGACAATGGCAATGGCAGTAACAATAACAATGACATAGAAAATAACAAAGACAATGACGACGACAATGACGAAAAAACGCCAGTCTCCTTGTTAGAGCTTCAAAAACAATTAAATAATTTGGAATTACTCTTACGTGAATATGTAATTGAACATTCGTATCTTGAAGCAACTCAAAAAAATTATGAAGATGGGAAAATCATAGTTTGATTTGATAAAGCTTTTTGATAACATGTAATTTATTTAAACTATTATGTATTTCTTATTATCCTTACTAAATATTGTCGTATAATAAATTGAATATTCTGTTATAGTACGATCCGAATTTTTTTATCATTATTTAAATCTCTAGATGCATGTATTACTACAGTTCACTTGTCAAACAATATATAACACTGTTAGAATTATCAAAAGCACATACTTTACAAACAAATTGTCATCTTTTGGTGCTATTGAAAAATGAGTATATTGGCAAACAATGGACATAATGTTTACAGAAATCAAAATTTCTTTAAAATACAATAAAAATTTTCATCTTCATAGTTCTCCATAAAAATGCAAAAGTAAACTTTTTGATTTTCATAACATAAAATACTGTGAAATACCTAGCAATGCGAATTTTTATTTTTAAGAAAAAAAATATAAATTGTTAAAAAAAAGCAAAAATTAATGTATTCCTTTTCATAATAAACAGTAACGGAATTGGATTTATAGACATAAGTTCATGAAAATTATTCATATTTTAAAAAGTATATCTAATGCTACAAATTGGCATAATCAAAATAATAAATTTGCAATAAAATAATTTCAAAGAAGTAAAAAATTATTTAAAAATTTGTTTTATTATTTAATTTTGCTAATATTTTAACTATTTAAAAAATAAATACAAAAGATCAAAATCAAATTTTTTGATTTTTAATAATTCTATTAAATTATTAATAAAATATAAAAAAACTTCAATATTATTAAAATATTATAGCAACAATTAGAAGTAATATAAATACAGAACTTACTTTTTATTAAAATTCAATTTATTAATAAATAATTTTATTTATATAAAAATAAAGTTCTTTATTTTATATTTATAGATAAGATAAAAAATGAGAATTTGAAAATTTATTATAATTAAATAAAAAATTACTCAAATAATATATTAAAGTATATACAGTGGCCATCAAAAGTAATGCAATGCTTAAATTTTTTACTAATTATAATTAGTAAAATGCATAATTTTCCTTATATATAAATATTTTTAATTTTACTAATAAATATTTTTTATTTTTACCTCAAAAAATAGCTAAAGTTCTCTAGATTAACATATATTTTTTTCAGATTTTTTGGATTTTTTACTGGCAACTTTTTCTAATTGCATATAAAGTCAATTAATTTTTACTGATTAATAAAAATTAATTGACTTCATATGCAATTAAAAAAAGTCACTGGTAAAAAATTTGAAAAATCTGAAAAAAATATATGTTAAACTAGAGAACTTTAGCTATTTTTTGAGATAAAAATAAAA